AGTCTGGTTCCAGTCCTGCCTGCTGTCTGGGTGAGGGTGGGGGTGGGCAGGGGGAGGAATCCTGACTCCACTGAAGTCAGTGGCAAAATTCCCATGGACTCCAAGGGAGGTAAGATTTTACTCAGGAAGTGCAAAGATGTTCTAAAACCAAATTCCCAAAGAAAAATAAAACTCTCAGAATAGTTCTGAAGCGTAAAATGATTGGGATAGGTCCTGAGATCTAAAAATATGTCAATGTTCTAGGAATGCAGGGAGAGATTTCTGATTAGTCCCAAATTGGTCCACCTATAACTAATTACTGCATGTTTTAAAACACTTTCATCAACACTTCCTTTCTTGTTCTCTCGCAAAAAACAAACAAGCAAGCAAACAATCAAACCAAATAGCCCTCCTCCTTCACCAGTGCCTATGTGCTGTTTGAACAGAAAGGCTGAGCCAACTGGTAGAAGACTAAATGAAACTGACCCTGGAGTAGCAGGAAGAAATTTGCTCAGGTTGAAGCTTGAAATTCTGAACTCTTGCTTCAGTGGCAAAAGTGAATCATGGGGATGATGTGTTTAATTTTTAAGGAATAAAATCCATTATTCAATAGTCAGTCTTACAGCTGGAATAAGTAGAATGAAGTGGTGACCTTAAAGGATACCATTGTCTCTCTCTTCTCTGCCACCCTATAAATCATTGCTCATGAAAGTCTTCCTCTTTCATAATTCCAAAATCTGTTTCCCACATACCTCCTGCTAAAACTACTAAGTACCAGTCATTGCTTGCCTAAATTATTGTAACCTTCCACTTACTGCTGCTCAACCTTCTGGCCTTCCTCTGAGTATTCAAGTCTATCCCTGGTGTTACTGCTGCAGAGACCTTCCTTAAATATTGCTTTGATCACACTATTGGCATATATATTTTACCAAATAAAATACAAACTTCTTCCTCCCCTTTGCATAACTGCATCCCCATTCACGTCTCTTATGTTCTCCTTTATGCTGTTCTTAATCCTCTCTCCTTACTTCTCTTTCCTACTTTCCTTCTCATATGCTTGGCTTTTTCCCTTCTAGCCCCAAACCTGGAACAGTATCCCAGTCCTAGGAATTCAGGAGTTGCCATATGGAAACAGCCCAGTGGTTCATCATCATTAGTGTCCTGTCTCAATAGCAGCCGGCAGCATCATCTGCTTCAGAGGGAGGTGCAATAAACTCTGCTGGGCACTGTTATGGAACAACCTTCCCATAGACAATATTTCTTTCTAACCTCACTAATTACTGATTGATTTATGTCCTGCAATATTAGAGCATATTTCCTTTCCAAAACATTTGTACTTTTGTTTCTTTGTTATCCTTGCTGCTGTTCTCCAAGCATTCTATTTATCCTCCTCTGAGTTCTCTTTGGAACAGATCACTTCAGGAAATCCCTTCTCCCTTTTGCTCATAATTAATAACTATAAGACATGATCTGTTCTGAAAAGTTGCTCTATTTCTTAACTGATGTTTGTGTATTTTGTCTTATTATATTATTTAATCTGCAGCCTTTTCAGGACCTGGAACATGTATCTTTTTATATTTTGGATCTGTATAAACACAAGGCACCATAAAATTATTTTCTAATAATTATACAGTCGAACCTCAGAGTTAAGAACACCAGAGTTACAACATAAATGATCAACCACACACCTTAGAGTATGTAATCAGGAAGCAGCAGACACACACATATGCAAATAAAAAGCAAATATATTACAGCAATCTGCAAAACATAAGCTACTAAAAAAATAAAGGGTGTGGTTTAAAAAAGGATTTGACAAGATAAGGAAACTGTTTCTGAGCTTGTTTAATGGCTAAATGCAGCATTTTTCTTCTGCAGAGTGAAGTTTCAAAGTTGTATTAAGTCAATGTTCTTTTGAAAGAAAAGTTATAACATTTTTTATCGAGTTACAAATATTTTAGAGTTACGAACAACCTCCATTCCTGAGGTTTTCAAACTCTGAGGTTCTACCGTAATTCTTCACATTCTCAATATGAAAGGATTTACTTGGTGATCTTAAAAGAGACCATTCATTTCCTTCTCTCCTCTCATATTAGCTATCAGATTGGAATGAAAATCTATTGCTAAGTGTTCTCCTGACTGGAGGAAATTAAGTTGCAATAGAAGCTAGTGGAAGGGCAAAAGAAGACAAAACAGAAGAAAGAGATAGTGATATTAATTTTCAGAAGCTGAATCCTGTTTGAAAGACATATAATAATTTATTACTGAAAATAAATTAGATTAGAAATCTCAAGATCACTTAAATTATAAATTGTTTTACTGAGGCTGACCTGCCTAATACTTTTGATCTATTAGTGAAGGTCCTTTTGAAGTCATGCTGAGTAAGATATATTCACTTTATACAAGACATTTTTCTTGGTAATTTAAAGAATCTATAAAGTCCTAACTAATTAAAACATCATATTAAGTATTGGGTAAGATGGATACAGTTTTCTTGGGAAATAAACTCTCTGCTGTTTTGCATATTTTTCGTGTAGAGAAGTGTTATGCAGTTGGGGAAGTAAGTAGAATACAAAGATTTCCTTCTGAAGCATGACATGCATATTGCTCAAGATGTTGGTTTAGAAATCTTGCCTGGCATGTTTGATATGCAGAGCACAAATGTGATCTTCACTAAATAATAAATATCAGAATATTTTTATTTGCCTACTAAGTTATTTTCTGCAATCATACTTATTTTTATTACTTATTTTTAGAGGAAAACTGAATCTCACCTAATAAAATAACTCCACAGAATGTGGAAATCCAGCAGAAATCGTATGAGTTGGCAACGGTGATAATTTGTTATGCATTACTCTTTGCAATTGAAAGTACTCATGAGATATCCAATTGATCAAAGTGCAAACATTACTTATCCATTCAAATTAACACAGAGATCTCTAAGTTCTAGATACATGTTAGATATGACCTCACTTGTTAGTGCCCATTTTTAGCTGTACATACGAACATAAGAATGGCCATACTAGGTCAGACCAAAGGTCCTTCTAGCCCAGTACCCTGTCTGCCGACAGTGGCCAAGTGCCCCAGATGGAGTGAATCGAACAGGTAATGATCAAGCGATCTCTCTCCTGCCATCCATCTCCACCCTCTG